ATCAACTTTTTCCCGGACGAGGTTAAGGCAAGGCTGGTGCCGAGTCCGGTGGCGGCTGCTGAGGGACGATCGCAGGGCTGCGCTGGCTTTGAGAAAACGAGCGGGACTCCCCTCCGGAGGCCGCTGTCAAACGGGCTCACCAGGGCTGCCCCCTCACAGAAGAGGGAGAAAATTTCTTTAACTACAAACTACAGCTTTTCAGGTGCATTATCAGTCTTGACTGCCTGACATTTCTTTACATTACACATACTTTCTAAATGTGTATATATATATATATATATATATATATCTTTAAAGATCTCAGCTGCCATGGCTTTCAGTTTTTGCTCTGCACACTTTTTGAGAGGAGGTGCAGTTGTAGCTTTGTGGTGCGTGCTCTGCATCTGCCTCTGGTGCAGAGGTAAACTTGCAGAATATATTTTAATAACTGGAATTTCGTATATGGATGTGACTGCACGTGAAAACCCTCTTAGGAATTTACAACAGAACTCTCTTGAGTTTGGTTGTGCGTTATTTCTTTGACTTCAAAAGAGGCAGTCTCATAATTCAATCAGGATTTAACTTTCTGAGTTGAAGGATGTAAAATGGCACGTGAAGCTGGAGTATTTATAGAATTACACAAAGATTAAAGGACCAAAATCACTTTCTCTTCCACACGTTTATTTAGAAACAGTTGTTTTAAAATGTTGCACTTACGTAATTTGTAAGTACATTGCCAAGAGTTTTGCAGAATGTCTTGAAACCCTAAGTGCAATAATTACAGGCAGAAAGAAAATTAATGAAAGATAAATTTGACTCCTTTTTTATATTAACTGAATATTGGAAAAGTGGTTGTGAATATGGTTTATGTAAAGTTGATTGTATCGACATAGGTATTAATTCAGCCTACAAATACTTAGTCTGTTATTGCTGAATGTGATTTAAAAGATTATTCTTTGTCTCAACTTTTGGAAAAGTAGTGTTTTTCATGTTCTTCATGACAGAAGATGCAAAATCATTGTGTTACATTATGTGATTTATATGACTGCATATAATTACCTGCAGTCAGGGTAAGCCAAGTTTTGCCTTTAGGCACAAGCCAGCAGTTTTGACTTCACTGAGACCTGATCGTATATAGTGAGGCTAAAGCTTTCTTTTCACAACTTGTTTTTTCTAAAATAAAATGAAATTTGCTATAGGAGTGCTTGTAAATTAATTTGGTGTTTCCTTCATTTAATAATAAACTAATATTTTATCTTGGATAACTCTGAATTGTCAGGAGAAAATAATTGCTGATTTAAAATACAGTCAAAGTATAAGTTTTGTTTTTGCTCTGAATTTTAAATTAACAGGTGAGACTCCAATGCCCAAATGGAGTTGATGTTAAACAACAATCTCTAGCCCTGCTGTGTCGTGCTGCAGACCTGTGATGGTGTTTCCTTTGCAGTTCATGTATCCAAGCGTTTTCCACTCAGTTTAACAGATCAAATCCCTCTCCCTATCCAACAGGAAGCTGCAAACCTTCCTGTTTGTATGGGTTTCTTGTGATTTTTCTCTTAAAATATTTTGTGCTTTCTCTAGAGATTCTTAGGGGGATAAACGTGAGCATTGATCCGTGGAGAAATGTCTGTGTTGATTTGTAGAAGGAACTGTGGAAGGAAGTACTTGCATAGTTTCCCACTTTTTAGAATGGTAAAATCCGGGGTTGTTGTGATATTTTAGGTTTTGAAATCTCCTACTCTTTATTTGGTTTTGAGCAATGTAGCTGATTTCTGTGAGCTGTTGGGTTCTGTGTTTTATTTCCATAATGTCTTTTTTACACACATTTTAGATTTGTGTTTAATTCCATGACACATAGCCTCTACATTTATTAAAGGCTCTATTTATCAGATTCTACACACTTGTTCTTCCTTGTGCTTTTTCCTATCTACACTTCTATACATGGTTTTTGCTGCTTGCTTTCTGCATTCCTTGGTGCTGACTTCACAGAACATCTTCAGTCTTTACTGATAGGTCAGCAATCGATGAAAATGATGCAATGATTAAAAGTGGTGCAAAGAGAGATGACAAAATCCTGTATTTGTTACAGGAAAATCCTCCTTCCTTCCGAGTGACAGGATATTTCCCCAGAGCAGGCTGACATGAAGCAGCCTTTTCCTGTGGCCTGGCTGTTGGGCAGGGAGGAGGATCCCAGTTCTGTCTGTGGGAACTGAGTGGAGCACATTACCATGTCAGTGAGCTCGGGAGGAAGCACTGTGGCATGGCACAGACCTGCAGTTTCAGCTGCAAGTGGCTGTCACTGCTGCTGCAGAGGTCAGGAGGCTCTTTGGCTCGTGGTGTGGATTTACCCTAGAATCCAGAGCATGGGTATTCAGAAGGGAATGGTTGTAACTTTGTAATGGTTGTAAAGTTGTAACTTTAGCCTTTTAAATTTTAGTTGAATGTAAGAAACACCTTTCCTGCTTTCTATGAGCAGCTCTTGTACCTCCGTGCATATTGGTAAGTACCAAGCAGTATTGCAGTTCAAAATTCCTCACAGTTTCAAGTCCAATATGTAATTTTATTTTGCTACTGGTTGGCTGGAGGTTGATGTGCTGGGTAAGAGAGAAGGCCCAAATCCTCCCAGTAACTTTAAAGCCACCTTTTCCATGCTTGTAGGTATGGTGTTATGGCTTACCTTTATTTTTTTAAATAGAGGAGGAAAAGATAATTCTGGGAAGTTCATAATGTTGGCTTTTCTGACTTCTGTTCAGTAAATGGAATAGTGTTAGTATTGCTGCTTTGACTTAAAGACATCCTAGTTAAGATGATTGTGATCTTTATAAATGCTTGCTGTTAATTAAACTCTTGACTGTTACTGGATTCTGGGTAATTGCTAATGCATAGAAGGAAAAGTAGGCCAAAAAATTAAAGACCGTGCAGGAAGTATGACTCATGATCCTTTTCAAAGGGCCAGAGGAATCAGTATAAAAACGAAATTTCAATTTTATACATTACCTGTCTTTTCTACCTAATGAAATAATGATGGGAGATCATCTTAATAAATATACTAGAGTACTGAAGGCAGGTGTATTGTATATATTCATTCACCTTCCAGATTTCTAAGCAAATTATTCGTTGTAGTATGTAGCAGTTAGATTTATGTATAATAGTTTGTGTTATAATAGCCCAGAGTTAAATAATATAATGTTAACTGCAAAGTTTGGTTATTTTGCAATGTTTATTGTCCTTAGTAGTAAGGACAATAAACATTTTTTTTAAAATGGTATATGATTATAAACATGCATTAGTAATATATACTATTTCTGAATATACATCTTAACTTTGCACTTCTCAAAAGTGAGCCTTTCCCTTTCCCCAAGGCCTCCTTTGAAATTGCACCCAGTAGTGATGTGAAGAAAACCTGAAATTATTAATGCTTAATTCTGTCAATTAGAAAATGCTTTGAGTTACACTGTTTAAATCAGAAAATGCTTTGAACTGCACTGTTTAATTTGTAAGGGCCAGTGTTACACCTGCACTGCCAGTCTTGCTCTTAGGCTCTCTATCTAAGGAAGTGCAGAGGAATACAGAGTTCAAAGAAAGCTTATTATTTGGAGAAACATGGACTGTGATGTTCTCCTATTTAAAAAGAAAGATTTATGAAAAAACCTCTGGGATCAAGCCTGTAATACTAATGGTAATTCTTACAAAAGGAATAATTTTGTAAATTACACTAAATCATATTAAGATGCTAGGAAATTTAATCCCATAATGGTACAGTAAATTACAAAAGTATTATTCATTTGTAAAACCCATTTTTTGTTTCTTATCTACAAAATTTTAAAAGTCAGCCATTAGCAGCCCATGCAAAATTTTGACTTGAGAATGTTAATGTTAAGATGAATAGATGTGTACATGTTTTATCAAGCTATTCATGCATCCAAGGTCCATGTAATGTTTCATCCAATTTTCTAAATAGTTCTTCCAAAGCACTTTAATAAAAGAGTTTGTTAAATTCTTATAGAGGAAATGGTAGAACTGAATTTTTAAGTACAATATTTTCAAGGTCAAGTGTTTAATTAGAATTTTTACTTAGCCTTTTGTCAAAAGTGTTCTTTAGCTACTTCAGAGTTTTAAAAATATTGAATCATTATAGTCTGCTTTGTGCATGAACATTTTCTCCTTTGTGCAGAATTAAAATTTAGGCCATCTAACATCATATGTGATTTTGGTGTGTTTTTTTTACTGCTTTTTGTTGCTTAATATGGACTCATACTGAGGGGCAATGAGAAGAGTTTAAGGTGCAAATAATAAAGTCAACATTGTCATTGGGAGTTACCACTGAAGAGTGTAGAGAGCTAGTTTGGATTTAAGCTACAGAGGTTACCTTACCTCAATAAAAATGAAGACACTCAAATTCAGGCAAGCTTTCAACTGTCCTTCAGAGGCTACGGATCTTCTAAGTATTTTTTAGTACACTGAGTTGGTGGCAGGAGTGAGTGTTGCCATAATCTCTTGCCATCTGATTTAATATGAGATTGTACTTTGAGCTGTTTATTTGCTAATCTTGCTAGTCACAGGTTTTAACCTCTTTCTGTTTTTCTCCAACCAGCAGAACTGCTCTGCTGCCTTAAGCCACTAAAACTGTTTTACCTGTTTACTTCTCTTTACATTTCTCCACTTGTCACCAGCTCTTCATGATTTTTTAACTGATGTTAATACAAGCAATAACTAAGAATCACAGCTCCTTGTTGTAATCTTAAAATCATAGTTACATGAAAAAGAGATATAAAACATATGCAGTCTGTGTAACAAATTATTTGAATGGCCCTGTTAAATAAAATGCACAAGGTAGAAGTGATTACCTATTTTTTTTTTTTTGCCAAGTACTGTTAGCATTCCCAGCCTCCTCATGGAGCTCTCCTTTGTTTAAGATGTTTTTTCTAGACCAGTTTGTCCCAGTCTATTAATAAACAGAGTAAACTAGAAATACTGAAAAATGTGGTTACATCTGTGATCAGAAAAAAAAAATAAAAAGAAATAATTGAACTATATTGGTAGTAAATAATGGTCATTTTAATAGATCAGGAAGTATTCTGTAGGTCTGAGTATAAAATGTTTGAAAAATAATCTGTGAATATATAAAAGTAGTAAAGGAACATGCCCCCTTTTTAGCACAGCAGAAGAGATGCTGTGTTTTAAGAGAAGCTTAATCTGGAAACAACATGTACCCTGAAGATGCTGTATCCTTGCACAGGAGGTCATCTTACAGGAACACAGAAATGGTGAAAGTGCAACTTTACCTCTGCACTGCTTCAAGGTCAATTAATGGAGAGATAATATCCAGCTGCATGCTCAGTCTTAAATTGTATGAAAAATTCAGTTGAGAGTTGTAACTGGAGGAGGGAAATGTAATTAATGCTAATATAAAAATCAAGTATTTATGAAATATTAGGCTGAAATATACACAAAACCATTCATAATTCAGGAAATAGGGATATAGAAATAGAGAAATTAAGTTGTGTCTTCAGGAAGCATTCTTTTGGATATCTGTAAAATGTAGTGCTTGGCAAATCTGTGCATAGTTGCAAATAAAAAAAAAATCACTGGCTAATAAGAATATACTGAACCAATATAAATATATTTTTGGAGCTTGTACATTTATAAGAAAACTTGCACGTGTGCAACATTCTGTTGCTGGATCCTTTTTGGCAGCAATTCTTATGTCCTGTGAGTTTTCCTGTATCATCCTGAGCTATGGTACGGTGTAAGTTGCCCATCAGTTCTTTACACATCCCACAAGTCCACAGTCTTGAAATGGAGACGTGTCAAATTGTAGAACACATACAAACAATATATCTCAAAGAACAGTAGGTTTATGAGCAAATGAAATGGACTCTAAACAGAAAGATTTGTATTTTGAAACAGAAGGTTGATCTGTCTTAAACCCCAAATGTTGATTTGGCCCACAGCAAGAACCATTCAGCAGCATATTAGTGTAGGGTGAGACTTGTAGGAAAAAGAGGTCCTGCTGCTCCCACTTCACTGATCCTGTTAAGTAAGCTACATTCTGCTTTTGCTGCTACTATTACTTCAGAGAAATCTGGTTAGTGTGTGAGATAATATTTCTACTGGGCTGCTGTACACCTGCAGTACCAAAGGTGGGGGACTGCCTTGCTGGGCTCTGCAGTGCTTTAGGTGTTTCATCCAAAGGACCTGTAGGTGAAGCCTTTTGCAGCAAAGTAAGAATGCATTGCTGTTACACTTTGATGAGTGAAAGGGAATGTAAAACTTAGGCTGCCATCTTAATTTGTCTAGGCTACAGTGGCTGCAGTCACGTGGGACTAAGTTAGATCAGTTCAAGTCAATGGTTTAAGGGGTGTTAGCCAAGCCTCTGCCACAAATGCCAAGTTCTGGAAGTGCTGGTCAAACTCTGGGGTAGCTTTTGCAAGTTTTGTGGAAATGAGAACTGATCCCCTATGCAGGTGTGACACTACCTGACATACAGTGTAGTCAGCCCAAGCAATTCTAAAATCTTAATTCTCTTCCTCTTTAATCGCTGATTTACTAAATGTTGATGGTAATGAACTTCAAGTAGACTTTATTTATGCTGTCTTTAATTGATACTTTATTTCCTTTAGCTTCTTTTATGAGAAAGATTAAATACCACCAATGTTTTTCCTGCTTGTATCATTCTATTTCTGTTATGTTGACTAAAATCACCTCCTCTCCAAACAAAGTAATGTTAATCTTTTAAATCTCTCCTTGTATGGATGACTGTCTCTGGTTTTAATCTGTTTATGACATTCTCTGGTGATTTTCTGCTTCTGATATATCTTTTTTTAGATGGATGCTGTTAGTGAGCACATCATTTCTAGAGAGGTCGTGCCACAGATTTATGTAATAGCATAATATTTTAAGTCTGCATTGAAAAGAGATGGTGATGAGCTCTTTTCTTTTGTTTATGCTGTCCCTTAAACTGGTGATAATAGTTGCTATGTCTTTTCACTTTCAAATTTCATTGGTAAGTAGTAGTAAAAATCTTTATCTAGAAGATATTGTCAGTGTTTTCTGGTGGTCATCCTAATTTACGTCTGGGGATTGGAGACCCTTCCATGCAAGGTGATGTGTTTAGTTGGCAGTGGCCATTTTCAGGTCTGTCACACCACCTTTGAAAGCTGTTCTTACTCAAGTTATTTAGCTGGAGTCTGATTTTCCCTTTTTTCCTCCCCCCTCTCTCCATCTTCCCCAAACTGACCCCTTGAGAGCTATGAAAAAGAGGTGGAAAGGTGCATTCCGGTCCGTGTAACATTAGAATGGGTAGAGTCGACTGGTAAATAGTTTGGCATATACATCTAAGATACAAAACAGTGTGAGGGAAAGTGCTCTGCAAGTGCAGCCAAATGTATATACAATAAATATGCCCAAACATTAGAAGAAATACATTAAACATGAAGAGACTGAAGTTTCAAACTGGATTGCAAGTTATGCAACATTCTACAGATGTGTAGTGTGGATGTAGGTTGACAGAATTTCAGTTCCTCATAGATCAGCTTTCAGCTTTTAGGGGAGTTCCATAGTTGCATGGCATTGGGTAAATGGTATAAGAGCTTTTTGCCTACTGAGATTATCTTAATGTTCTTGAATCATCAATTTTAGAATAATGATAATGGTATGAGGATGCTAATAAAACCAGGTAACTTTATAAAATTCTACTTCCATGACCTTGGGCATGCTTCGGGAGAGAAGGGGATGAGATGAGAAATTGAACTCCACATAAAAAAAGCTGTAACTGTTTGGACACAAGAATGCAGATGAACACTGCTCATTTGAATCTATGTTATTATTTTTATTTTTTTAAAATATAGCTGTATCTGAACCTTCTTTTATTGCTAAAAGTGAAGATCGTTTGTTTAAGCATTTATTTGAAGACTATCAAAGATGGGTACGTCCAGTGGAACGCTTGAATGACACAATAAAAATCAAGTTTGGCCTTGCAATCTCTCAGCTAGTAGATGTGGTATGTATAGTAAATAAGTTGTGTTTTTTCCACTAACTTTAAAAAGAGCATGATTTCATGTGAAATAATTGTGTCTGTTAAATACAATAGATTAAACATTTTAAATTATTATCAGGGTAATAAAAATGCCCTGTAGATGGATATATAATGTTCTCATATAAACATACTTAGTGATTAGAATGCTTTCAGCAGTGTGTTTTGTATTTTAAGTTACAGACCTCTGTGAACTAAAGCAGCTATTTCCTATGGATAGATTATTTTTTGTGATATATGCTTTATTTCACAGGATGAGAAAAATCAATTGATGACAACAAATGTATGGTTGAAACAGGTATGTGTAAAATACTGATGAAAAATTCTGAAGCTTCATAATTGCAAATCAAAATTTGGGAGAAGCTTTTCTAGTTAATTGTATATTAAAAAACCAGTTCTTGCATGAAATTTTATTTCACATGGTATCTTTATAGAAGGTCCCTGGAAAAGCTTTAAAGGATTAATTGTGACAAACCTCTTTAAAAAACCATAACAACAAGGCAAATAAAAGCTCCCCAAATTAAGAGAAATCTGATATGGCATTGCATGGCTATTTAATATACCAAGGTGTATATATGCAACCATAAATTGCTGCTTCAGTACAAAAGTTTTCATTCAAAAGCTTTATTAAGAAAAGTATCATTGGTATATTCTTCTGTATAATTGTTTTGAGGTCTTTTTCCTGTGGGATATTTGAAATTTTTAGATATATGTTACTGAAGAATTCCAGTTTCAAAGTTAAATATGCTTGCTAGAAGGAAATACTTCTTTCTTTTAAGAATATTTGAATTTGGGCAAGAAAAACCCTCCAGCTTTGTAATTGTAAGAGTCCAGTGCTAAACTTAATTGCCACTATCTACTTGGGCAATGCTGCTTACAAATCATTCTTGATTTACCTAAGGAGAATCTTTGCAGGTGCTGGGTATATTTACTAGCTTATGGAATTATTTTTGTTTGTGCTAATTCCTTTCTGTTTGTTTGTTTGATTTTTTTCCTTTTGCTTCCCATTCCCTTCTTTTCCAGTAACTTCAATTTTAGGCCAAGGTTTTATTTTTAGGAAAACTTTGAGACTAGTCAGCAAATAGGAGATGACCATGTGGGTTGATGATTCTTTGTGCCCTCTTTAATAGTTTCTGCAGATCTTCTTGAAGTTGAACCAGTTTTAAGAGCTGGAGCATGATGGGGTTTTTGTATAATGAAAATGTCTAAATTGCTTCTGATTAGCTTCCAGTCATTGGTATTCATCCAGAACAAGCTTTTTTCAAATTTAATTTATACAATTAAATTACATTATAATAGCTCTTACTTATAAATACATGCTCTGAAAAAGGAACATCATATCTTCAGTTCTGTACAGAAACATTATCAAGTAGCTCTTATAACAGAAAACAAATACTGAGTGAGGTACTACATGCCTCCTCAGCAAATTCATTGTTTTATGCAAATTTTAGAAACCAGTTTGATTGTCATTAATTGCCTTGTTATCTATTTTCATCTGGTATCACCCTGCTGAAATGCACTTCCCAATAATGATTTTTACATCTCACATGTCCACAGGAATGGATAGATGTAAAATTAAGGTGGAATCCTGAAGACTATGCTGGAATAACATCTATCCGTGTCCCGTCAGAATCTATTTGGATTCCAGATATTGTGCTGTATGACAAGTAAGATTTGAATCTTTTAATACAAAATGCACATACTTTATAACTTCACTGACCAAACTGCTTCTAGAAGGCTCATTGGATAGACATAATGTACATTTAGTGGGCTAAGTTCCTGTGGAGGAACTTGTCTCTGAATGAAAATGGACTTCCTTGGTATGTTAAATGTCAAATGTTTTGTTTCTGAATGGAATTTCTACTCCCTTTGAAAAGGTTGTTTTCATTTTCTTGTGTAAACTTTTTTTCTTAATTGGAAAAAAAATGTCTTGTACAGTGCTGGATAAAAATAGTGTAGAGTGATAGGAGAGAAGCAACTAATTTATGTTGTTGTAAGTCGTATTTAGCTGTTGGGATGCAACACTGATCGCTGGGTTCTTTTCCCCTTGGACTGATTGATGAGAGAGAGGCAGTTTTCTCTTGCTCTGACTTGGTTGTTTATTCTTCTCTTATCTATATTACATATATACAGAGTACAAGGAGCTATATACACTAAGATAGAAAGGTGTAAAATGGCTAACAAAGAACTTCTTCAATGCCTTTTATATGTCAATCCAATTGACAAATGCCAAGTAAATTATTTTTCTTAGTGACCCAATGACCTGACACCTGTATGCTGAACTGCAATATCTTCTATCCAATCACTTATTATTACCCAAAAACCCCTACAAGAAGAAGATGAAGAAGGAAGAAGAGACAACACCCTAAATCCTTCATCTTGTTTTTTTGTTTTTTAAAAGAGCTTAAACCTTAAACCCTAACTTTCTCACCCAGTGACTTAAGAAAACTCTCTAACTTACACACTCACACTCTTAGTTTGTCTGTTTAATAGTTGTTTCCATGGTATTATGTGAAATTCAGTGTTTTCTTGGATGTCAGAGCATAGATAAGGGCACACAGTCTGTGCCTCTGACTCCAACATTTAGCATGGAATGAAAGTCAGGTACATTTAACTGTAAGGGGGGCTTGGGTTGTTTTGATTTTGTTTCTTTTGAAAATTAGCTGATCTCAGAAACTATAACTTTTGAATTAACCCTTCTGCACAATTCAGGTTCATATACAGTGCTTTTACATTTCCTGACTTGTCGAGTCAGGATAAAGGGCTGTTGCAGTGATTGTAAATTCAAGTTTGGGCACAAGTATTATTTTACCTGTTTTGTGACTCTTTTTATTTAATAATGATTTGACCCAATTTAAAAGTACTTATTCTGTCTTACTAATAGAAACACCAGAGCTGGGTCATGCTCATGTTAAAGATCAGGATTTTACAATCTTTTCATAAATCATTGGGACCATTGAAAGTTGCACAGATCTTTTCAGGACTTCAAAATATTCTTCAGTCTTCCAAAGTTGTTTGCCTCTGTGAGATTCAGATTTGAGGAAAAAATTTGGCTATGAAGACAATACAAAATTCTTGCTGTCAAGGGCTAGACAGCTGAAATGACAATAACAAAGCGTATTTTCTTCTTTAATTACATCCCCACACCCCATTGTAATTGCCTGCATTTATCTCCCTTCTTTCAGTGCAGATGGGCGTTTTGAGGGAACATCTACAAAAACTGTGGTAAAATATGATGGCACCATTGCTTGGACTCCACCAGCAAACTACAAAAGTTCTTGTACTATTGATGTAACATTTGTACTATTGATGTAACATTCTTTCCCTTTGACCTTCAAAATTGCTCAATGAAATTTGGTTCCTGGACTTATGATGGCTCACAGGTTGATCTAATTATTGAAGATTATGATGTTGACAAAAGAGATTTTTTTGATAATGGAGAATGGGAAATAGTGACTGCGACAGGGAGCAAAGGCAATAGGACTGATGGATGCTGCTGGTATCCTTTTGTTACATATTCATTTATAATTAGACGTTTGCCACTTTTTTACACATTGTTTCTAATTATTCCTTGTATTGGGCTTTCATTTTTAACTGTCCTTGTCTTCTATCTTCCTTCAAATGAAGGTGAAAAAATTTCACTCTGCACTTCAGTACTGGTATCTTTGACTGTTTTTCTTCTGGTTATTGAAGAAATTATTCCATCATCTTCTAAAGTTATCCCGCTCATAGGAGAGTACTTGGTGTTTACTATGATCTTTGTGACCTTATCCATTGTGATCACTGTCTTTGCTATCAATATCCACCACCGCTCCTCGTCCACACACAATGCCATGGCACCTTGGGTTCGCAGGATATTTCTGCACAAGCTGCCCAAGCTGCTTTGCATGAGAAGCCATGTTGATAGGTACTTTGCTCAGAAGGAGGAAACAGCAAATACGAATGTATCAGAATCATCCAGGAACACCTTGGAAGCAGCTCTGGATTCCATCCGCTATATTACGAGGCACGTTATGAAGGAGAATGAAGTTCGCGAGGTGGGTGTGTTAGTCCTGCTACACTGATTTTATACAAGTGGAAATTAGAAAACCAAGTGCCTTACTGTGCAGTTACATATTAAAGATGTGCTACAGATTCTCAGCTTTTGTACTTTGCTGAAAGTTGTATAGTTGTTTCCAGTGGAAAAAAGTGCAAATATGGTACAATACTGAGAATATTTGGCTGATACAGTACAGTATTTGGGGTCCTTAAAAGTCTTTTGCTTTCTTCTACAAGTTCTTGTTACTAGTTCCATGTTGTAAGACGCTTGTCTGTGACAAGAGCATGTACTGTAACTGTTCCCTACAGCACTGATGAGATGATGGGAGAAGGAGCTCTTTTTCACTTTATTGTTGTACCTGAAGGCTATCTTGAAAAATTCATTTGTGTTATATTTTCCAAATAAATTCTGCCAAGACTTGCACTTTTCAGTTCCAAATAAAAACAGTTTCAGTGCTCTAACTTATATTAGTTTAAATACAGGCTATAGCCATATGTTGGTCATTTTGTGCTCAGATGAAACATGGACTCAGTGACTTCCTTCTACCCTTACTATTATTTGTCCCTAAGTTTTATCAAAAGAGGCTTTTTTTCAGTCTGTGCATTTGCACTCTGAATTATCCTTAATGAATGTTTACAACATTTGTTTAAGAGCATTAGAAATCTGTTTTCTTTACATGCTTTTTAAGCTAGCACCATTGGTACATCAGAGACTTAAATGCAATTTCCAGTCTAGTGTCAAAACTTATAGAAATATAGAAGTTTGTTGTATACTGTCTGTTTCTGATGGCAAAGCCTAAGGTTCTTTCAGTCTATATGGGAATTGCTGTCTTCAGAAGGTTCTGGTTGCTGAGAGCTCTGTTCAGCCATAGGAGATTAGGAGTAGTGTGCCTCCTCTAATGTGCCTTCTCAAGACTTGATTCTGACATTGTCACAAGGGATGTGGCCTAGATTTTTAATAAATGCATCTGCTGTACTGTTAAAGCAGCATCTAATAACCCTGCATTGTATGAACAACAGAAATAGAAGAGCTTGCTATTAAATACATAATTTCCTGTAAATTAAGGGTTGACTGTGAGAGACAAGTAGTAAGTATTTTGTTTTTCAAGTGTAATGTTGCTTACTATAAACCTTGGAAATTAATATACAGCTGACCAGGGATTCACTTGTTTTATTATTCATGGGCTCCAGAGAATGCAAGCTTTATTTACAACAGTTGTTAATAAACACTAGATAGCTAATACTATTGTAGCCTTACATTTTAGGAAGCATTTGGCTTGGGCAGCTCCAGTCCAAATCCCAGACAATTGCTTGGCAGGGTTTTATTTTTCTTTCATAATTATATCTGCAATACTTGGAAAACTGTGTATAGATATGAATAATTTTATCAAAAAGGAAAGTAGTCTTGAGTATTCTGTGAGTATTCTCCCCAGTGTATAATTCTGTGCAGCAGTAACTTTGCAGCCTTCAGCAATTGTTTGGAACACAACAGCTGCTTTGTACTAACAATTTAAAAAAAAAATATTATTACTATTTGGGGGATTTGGTTTTGGTTTTCTGGTTACTTTTTTGCTGTCAATTGGTGTTAGTGGTTGTTTGGGGTTTTTTTTACAGCTTTTGCTTCCAGCTCCTGCTTGGGAATTCCACTTTATGATGTCATGTGCTATGAATCCTGCAGTATGTTAGAAAAATGGCAGGCCAGTCTCATCCCTACAAATGAGGATGTTTGGTGTTTGTCAGGGTCAATTTCTGCATCAAAATCTACATTGCTTATCAGTCTTAACAGAGGGAAGCTTGCAACTGTTCTAACTCACAGTATTATTATAAAATATTGCTCAAAAGGGTTATCATATGGACATGGTTGAAAAAAGCATACTTTGAAATAACTAACAATTGCAGGATTTGGAACTGTGTTTTTACCTGTTCTTGCACACACTGACCAGCTTTTGTGCTCTTTGTGTTTTAGGTTGTTGAAGACTGGAAATACATAGCTCAGGTGCTTGATCGAATGTTCTTGTGGGCTTTTCTTCTGGTTTCAATAATTGGATCACTTGTATTATTTATTCCTGTTATTCATAAATGGGCAAGTATAATAGTACCTACACATATAGGCAGTACAAATGCATAAAATATCTTTGGGGCCATGTCCTGCTGATCTGGCTCTAAGTTTTGCAGTAGCTCTGTTTCCATGCACGTTCTTTGTAGGTGTGTTTCTGATAGAGTGAAAAAAAAATTCCAAAACTAGAAAATTAGGTTTATCTTAAAGCATGGCATTCCCAGGACACATAAAAGTCCATTTGCTTATTACCAGTCTACTGAGTTACTGCTAAGCCAACTCAGAATTAAAAGAACCTTCTCAAGCCATGGCATGTATGATTTATCAAAAAAGCATACACTGACACCTACTGTGATATAGAAGGATTTCAATTTTTTAATGATGATCACTGTAGTCCAATTATTTAATTACTAGATAAATTGTTATACTGAATATTAAATATTTGCAGTTGCACAGTAGAGTTGCTTATTTCAATTTAGTATATAAAGGAGAATTTTTATAAGTTCTCTTCAGTGTGTTGTAGAAGTCTGAAATTTCACCAGAGTAATTTAAAATAATAATAAAAATACAAGTTAAACTTCCTGTATTTATAATATACAACTAAGAACAGCAATTTGGCCATGTCTGGCCTTTATAAATTTTCACTGGAATTTGCTGCTTAATTTTAAAGCTTGTTAATTCTGTGATACCAACATGAGCATTTAATAAGCCTTAAAATGCCTAAAGCACGTGTGTATATTGATGTCTCCATCAACTTTGGAGAGGAAGGTGAAGACAAAGGCAATTAACTAAGTTCCCAAAGTGCATAAGTATTCTAAGGGGTTGGAACATTCAGATTTCTTTACCCTTGATGAAGAATTGCAGACATGTTCATTATTTGCTGTCTTTGGGTGTTACTCAGAATTAAGAATTTAAGCACAGGCAGAAGGAATTTGTGGAGTGTCTTTCTGAAGGAAATGGGTTATAAATCATTATGGTGTGGAACCAAATGGAGATGATTAATGATTTTCACATTTCTTAAACTGAATTTAAGAGAGCTACCTTGGGTTAGTTCTTTCACTTATAAAACCATATGTAACTCTAAACACCAAGGACTTAGAATTTTCAATATTTTCTTTTGAAAATATCATTGAAAACAAACTTAGAATTTTTCACTTATTCCATTAAAATATGTCATTTACATTGATTCCAATGCTACCTTTCTTCCTTTCTTAATAGCTTAATTTCTGGAAAAGACTCTAAAATAGTTGGGTGTTTTCCTACACTAAAGTTTTTTCAGTATTGTTCATAATAAATTTCATCCTGTAGGCCTAATAGAGGAGTGCCAGGCTAGAGGAAATCTTAGGAAGTTTTTGTTTGCTTAAATTACCACATGAATAATAACACGTTTAGGTGAGAAGCTTAAATGTAAACTGTGGTGGCTTCAATAATTTAAAGTTTTTATAGTGATTATGAATTTGAACAACAGATAGATATTTCTCCCACACCCCCTCCCAGATCTCCTTTAGAATAGCCCTGCACTGATTATAATAGTGATTACTTATGATATAATTTATATATAATTAAATATTTATTTCAAAATGTTTTAATCTGCAAGATATTCTTGTTTTTTTTATTTTCATAGCTTTTAAAGGTATGGAAATGATACCAGGCAGGCCTTTTGGCTTTTTTTCCTTTTTTTTAAATTAGCAGTTAGGGAGTCACTCTTCTTCAGTTACACAATTACATCAGACATTAGATACATGTTTCCTCTATTCCCATCATAGCTTTAAAGGTTAATTAGTAAAGATTGTCTGGTTTAATTCATTAATATAAGACCTTTTAACTTCTCATTATTACTGAGGTTAAACAATGCATCAATGACTTTCTATGTGTTCAAGTTGCAGAAGTACTTCAGATAGCTTGTTTCCTCTTCAAATACAACATTTCTTTTTAAAGTCTTCCATAGGTTTGAATTACTGAAATTTACCTGAAGAGAAAGCAAAGTGAGTACAACTGTAGATTAGATATATATATATTTTTTTTTTTTTTTAACTCTCCATTTCATCTCTTTCTCCTTGTTAAATGATGTCTCCAGGCTGCCCAGTTGCATCATGATGGACAGCACATTGCCCAGTGGAGTCACTCTATTATAGTAACTCACAGTTTTTTCAAATGCATGAATTTCTTTTAGTGACTTCTAGTCTGATCATGATAGATTCAGATAACATAGCTGACACTGGAATCCTTGGGGTCTTTTGCTTATCAGGTGTATCTGAAACAAAATAATGTTAATATACTCAGAAGCATGGATTTTTACTTCTGTAACTTACTGCTGAATGTATTGAACTGTAAGTAATGATACCATATAGTATTCTGTCACTTGCTCAAAATAAATTTAAAAAAAAGGCACAATTTTCAACAGTTTGATTCTCTTTATTTTCATAAATATCACTTGATACATTGTATTTCCACAAAGTTTTCAGTTTGGTGCATAGAGAGCAGTTGGTATTTTTACAAAATATGCTCTGATTACAGTGTTTTGTTGCATTCTTTATTCGTGATCTTAAATAATCTGCAATTACTGATTATCAAAAAAGATATATATGCCTAAGCAACAATTTTAGCACACTTTACAGGACTATTTTTGTCTGCCTGCCTTCCCTTGACATAAAACACTTCACTACAGCAGGATGCCTCTGTATCCAAACTATCCTGTCAGAGTGTTTTGATCCTTTGTGTCACTTGCAGACTGTCTTATTGTGTTTTATTTGTACACAATTCTAAACGTCATTAGGTTTGAGCAGCTTATTTTCCTGACAGCCTTCACATACATTTCAGGCTGGGGATACACAGAGTTTACTTTATGGCTGCTTTATTACCATAATCTATTATTTACCTATTTGTTTTCCTTTTGTAATAAACCTCTCCTCAGTCCTTTCTTGCCACTGTGTGGGTCAGTTTGTACAGCAGGTGGCAATGTCTGCACTCCAGCCGTTCGGTACTTGTGCTTCCCAAAATTCCATCCTCCTGGGGGTATACATGGATCCCCCCTATGAACTCTTTCTAGAAGATCCTGTCATGCTGTGAAGTGGCTTGGCACCAAACTACAGAACAAACCTAGAAGCCCAAAGCATTCAACGCATCTTGACTTTCCAAATATTCATGGAATTTTCCATTTCTTTGTTAACTCCTGCTTAAATCATTCCTATAAAGTTTAATATACTGCCTCCATCTTCTCCAGTTATTGCAGGAAGTGGCTGTAAAGCATAGCTTGTATTACTTCAAGATTAGCTGTCATAAAAGTTCCAAATAATTTCTTTTTCTGCATTTTGAACAAAGCTGTCGTGGTCAAGTGAAGTTGAAGCCAAGAAAGATCCTTGTTCTACTACACATGGAAGAGACATGAGGTGCTGAGAGGGGGATGCAGAGTTGGTTGGCAGTTTTATTCGATTTCACAACATTTTATTTAATCTTTACATTTCATCTCCAGCCATCAGAGGTTGTAAAAACAATCCTGCTGTTCCTAGAATACATACTAGGATGAAAACCCATAGAAAAATACGATCGATTACCATGGCAACATATTTCCAATCATCCTGAATCTGAAAAGACAAAAAAAAAGAATAGCAAGTTGTCATGTTTATTAGGTGAATAAGTTGCATTAGCAATAATACCATTTCATATAAGAAGCACAGTTTTTTCTGTATGTAGATATCATTATGAATACACAGCTTACACATCTGTTCTCACTGACAAATGAATTAATCTTGAAGAAGCTTTATTTGAATATGCTCTTTGGAGCAAAGCCAAAAGCTGCTGCATCAAATCCAAAAAGTTGTTCACCAAGACACTGGACTTGAGGAGACACAAGTTCTCTATTCCAAAAATGAAAGTGTAAAACTTTACATTCTTAGATGAACAGATTTGTCCAGAAAATGATCCTGAAACAGACTGCTCCTCCTGGTCTTTAGGTAGTATGTAAAAAGCAAAGATTAATTGGTATATAATTATTTGGTACTTTATTATATAGTACTGAAATCTGGCTGTTTCCATGCATGATGTAAAATTTATCTCTGTACATTTCATGTAAAAAGGGAACAAAGTTTCAAAAAACCTGATTTTTCTAATTTTCTTTTTTTTTACAGTGAATTTGGTATCAAGAGTGACAATGAAGTATTCCATTTGTTATATATTGATCATTTTGTTACTATTGAGATTATAATTCAATTTTTTTCTTTTTCTTCATGAATGATAAGAAATGAATAATGCATTTGTTGTTTTTGAAATTTGTTCTTTTTAGCTTAGAACTTGTTTGCTAAGGGAAACTTAAAAACCCAAAGCAACCCTATATTTTCTGTACCAACTAAATCTAAATAGACTTCTGATTTCAGTATAAACAAAATGAAGTCAGAATGAAGTGCCACAGTTTAGGTATTTAAAAATTGTGATGGTGTGTCTACTGCTCATAGTATGTTTAAGGAATATGCCAAAAAAACCTTCTCTTTTTCTCCTTTATTGTATTAAGATGCAGCTTTATGAAAGATGTTGGTCCCTGTCTTACAGTAGTGGCCTCATTTAGTCATAGCACTTTGCATCAGCAGCAAGAACAAACACCATCATCACTGTGAGGGACATTCACTCCCACATTTCTGTTGATGGTAAGCTGTGGGAAGGAGAATGTAACTTTCTGAAGGCCATAGGGTCAACAAATTCCACTATTTAGATCTATATTTATATTTATCTATATTTATATTATAACTTGGAAAATCCTAGTTTCAGCTCTCATGGGAAGGGTGCTTTGGTACGTTCCCCTAGCAGTGGTTACCTTAACATGCCTCACTCAGTAAATATATTGTCAATAAAGAGATGACTGTGCAGCAGAGCTGCTTCTTAATTATATAAGTTCAAAATTGTACATATTTATAATACAGCTTGTGTAATTTACTTGCATATAATAATGATCTCTTTTATCTTTCTTGTCTGAGATCTTTTTCTTACCAAACACTCTAATGGCAAAAGGTATCTGCAGTTTGAGAAACAGTAAATATGTTCTTACCTCTTTTGCTTCATTCTGCATTTTCATATTTTCTGCAATGTATTTCACACTTTCAATAGCATCTCTCATTTCTGGTGACAGAACTGAAAATGAAAGCATAGGATCTACAGACTCAGAGCTTGAACTTCTAGTGAGATTGCCACTGAAATCCGAGAACTTTGTGCGCTGGTACTGACAGCAGCTGCATGCCATATCTTGGCAAACAAAGCCGTCTTTGCAGCATTTGGTTTCAGAACCGTTGATGCAATTTAAGTTTGAAAACTCAGAAGTGAATAATGGTTTTGGCTTCGGATTACTCTCTTCATCACTGGCAGGCCTTGTCATGAACATGATCCGGGGAAGTAAGTTCAAGAAAATAGTTCTCACCCACACGGGCATTGTGTGTGTCTTGGGTGTTCTGTAGTGCACATTTAGTACAAATACTGTAATGACAATCGATAGAGTTACAAATATCATGGTGAAAAGGAGGTATTCCCCAATAAGGGGAATTACCAGGGAAGTAGAAGGTATGGTTTCTGTGATAACAAGAAGGAACACTGTTAAAGAGAGAAGCACTGATATGCAGAGTGTCACCTTCTCACCACAGTCTGAGGGCAAATAGAAAACTAATACAGTCAGAAAAGAAATCAACAGACAGGGAATAATCATATTGATAGTGTAAAATAAAGGTAAACGCCTAATGTAAAGAGAATATGTGATGTCTGGATATATCTCTTCACAACAGTTGTATTTGATGTCATGTTTATACCCAGGAGCTTTAATTATAGCCCATTCTCCACTCTCCCAGTAATCTTTCAGGTTCATTGTAGAGCCAATTAGAACTAAGTCGATTTTGGCTTTGTCGTAAGACCAGGAACCGAACTTCATGGTGCAGTTCTGATAATCAAATGGGAAGTAGGTTACATCTATTTTACATGAACTTTTAAATATAGCTGGAGGTATCCAGGTCACATCACCCGTGTATTTTAAAAGGGCCTTTGTCTTGTCATCAACCTGGAAATCCCCAACTGCACTGTAAAGCAAGTAAAAATAACAAAATTAGAATGATCTACGCCAGGTAGTTTCATACATTCAGATCATATACATTAAATCTTTATTCTGTTTTGGGGAAGTCAGCAATTACTTGTTTGCTTGGAGCTGAATTACTCATGTAAGATCGACCATCATAAATTTGCATGGTTAAACTGAAACAAACAGCTCTATAAACTCACTAGAGAGGAGCTGAAAGCAAATATTCTCCCTTATTAATAGCATGGCTTGGTGCAATCAATATTCAAAATGGCAAATAACAATTGCAAATGGCAGTCCAACTAGATGAGTCCTGTGGGTCCTTTCCAAGTGAATTATTTCATTCTATTCTATTCTAGATTGATCAAGCACATCAGAATTCAAGGGATGATAAGAATATTACTGGTATTTCCACCTCTTCCTTGGACAGTGCAGGTAAAAACTATGGAAGGAGGGATTAGTGTTGGGGTGTATCTTTGCATAAGGAGTGTAAGAGGTTTTTTTTAAGTCACACTTCACTAACTCATATGATCCAGTTGAGTATATGAAAAGATAAAATTAAAGGGTAATTTGAAGTGTTAAGGCCCCAGTTAGAAAAGGAGTGTCATCACTCTTGATTCATAGACCTGAGCTTTGGATCTGTGTAGCTGAGTCCATTTTATTGAGAAGTGCCTTCTTACAGATCAATTTAGTTATGGTTTCGCTCTTTACAGCCTCAGAAATTGACATCTAAATTGGATTTTATCTGTAGGTTTTATTTGTCAAAGGTGTCAAGTCGTGAATTTGACTGCTAAAAAGCTAGAATTTGCATTTCTTTAAGTTAATGTTATGACTCTCAGGGGCTTGTGAAGGGGAAATGCCAAGTTTGCAGCTCCAGGTTAGAGCTGGATCCTGCCCAGTGATGCTGACATAGCTGGCGTGAAGGTGAGAGCAGCAATGGGGGATGCAGGACAGAGGTGTGTTGAAAAGCAGCATTTCAGTGCATTCTGTGAACTTGCTGCTGATTTGCTGATTTTTTTTTAGAACTGGTAACATCACCCCCCTCTCCCTGAATTAAGAAGTTAAATATGCAAGAGCCTTACTTGTTATATAAAACAATATCTGGCTTCCAGATCTGGCCAGATGGAACTCGGATGAATTCAGCACCTCCATAGTCTGCTGGATTCCACCGAAGCTTGTAATCATTCCAGATCTAATTATGGTAGAAATGAGTCTATGTTAGATTTGTGAAGAAACTGAAAATCATTGGACTAGATCTGAACCATGTGCTGAACCCACTTGCTGGGTTGATTTATTTTGGATACTATAGTGTTTAGATGTTTCTTTAACAAACACACTTGTGT